TACCTAAGAATAATAAAGCAAGCACATATGTTAGTGAATTTGTTTTTTTTTTTTTTAAATGGTTTACAACTTGAGATGAGATTCAAATTTCAATCTTGAAATTAAAAAATTTATCTTATTATAAAATATATAACCATCAAGTCTAATGGTGTAGTAGGTGCAATAAGTCTTCGTTTGGTGTGGTTGGAGTTTTTAATAGAAGTTTGGATGAAAAAAATTATTATAGAAATGTTGTTTTTATAAATAGAAAAAAAAAATAAAAGTAAAATAAAAATAATGTGTTAATTTTATTAAAACATAAACGAGAAATTCTTACAGAAATACCAATATAATACTTTTGAGATTTATAATAAAATAAATAAAAAATTAATTTATGAAAAATTATAATATTTTTTTTATAAATTATAATATTAAATGTAATTAAAATTTATAAAATTTAAAAAGATTTCTGGCCCACCTTACCAAACGTAGGCTAATAAATTTGTTGGTTTAAAAGTTGGTTGAAAAAAAAGAGTTGAGTTAAACACTCCCATAATTGGACAAATCGTGCTATGCTCTTAAAGCTGCCTTGTCTACGAATCATAGCAACCACATGACAGAGTTTAAAGCTTCTACAAACGGATTAGAAAAATTAGCCATTATTAAGCATCAAATAATGGGCCTTAACATTTAACACCTCAACCTCTTCCACTTCAACAAATAAACTACTTTTGAGTAATGACTCATGATTGCATCCAACTGGCTCTTGACAGGACAAATAGAAAGGATGATGATTACCATTTTGGCTGTATTGCATAATCAAAGGAAAAAAATTTTACTCAATTTGGGTGCTATAATGTAAATTAAAAGTTTTTTAACTTGTGTGCTTAATATATAAGTGAAAAATGAGAACTCCTGGTAGAGAAATAAGTGAAAAATGAGAACTTTTGGATAAAGCAATTGGTAACTCTCCACGTAGATGTAATCATAGGCTTCGAGTTTGAGGTCACCCCCTCCCCTTTCTCCTAAGTTGGGTTTCCCAGCCCTTGATTACCCGATAAAATATATATATAAGTGAAAAATACTTTCTCAAAAATATATAAGTGAAAAATAAAATCAGAACTTCAGACTAAATAATCTGTCCTTAAATTTTAAGATCTTGAATTGATCAAAACTTTAACTTTCAACGATAATTTAAAAATTTTACATTACCTATAATTTTCCATGTTCAATATAATATATATATTTATATGTAAGTGAAGAATGCACTAGGTCTTGTAGGAGTTGGTAGGAATGCATTTCCTGGTACCGAACATTGAATCATTGTAATGTCAGTGTTAATATCTCCTTCTTGTTACTTTTAAATTGTAATAGTTCAATATATATATATATATATATGAGTGAAGAATATTTTTATTATATTTTTTAT